GTCCAAGGACTTTTTTGTGCCTGGACCGGATCAAAAGGAGCTTCAGTGTATCACTCTCGACCAATTTGCCACCAATATCCAGTCCAACACTCGCGGATTCGATGAATCCCTAGTCTCCGTCAAGGATTTGGTTTGGGTTTGGACCATAGAGCCTACTCCTCAGGCACTACTGGACCCCCATACGGTCCTAAAGCGTGCTCGCTTCCCATGCGTGGATTTTAACGATAGCGAAATGTTCTTCTTCAGTGTTGCTTCATTCGCATTTGTAACGCCAAAAGTTGAGTCGTACAACGTCTTGGGAACAGTTGTACGAGCCTCCAGAAAACGAGGAGAGCCATTAAAAGTTTTCGCGGCATTTGAAGGAGCGCCAGATGCCGTCCAAATAACCCAGGAAATCAGCGAATTTCCACTAAGTCAATTAAGCGAAGGCGAAGTGCTGGTAGCGCGAGTGCGAAGCAATATATCTACAGCAATTCGCTTTTCTGAACCGCCAGTATCCGTAGAGGCTCGTAGAAAGCTCTGCGACCTTATCCGTCAGACGATGCCTTGTTACCCAAAGGAGGGTATTTTACCGTTAACGGTGACAAAGCTCGAATACATCGATAGGCTGTGGCTCAAAGATCGTCTTAATCATTTCGACAGCTTTGTTGCCGATCCGAGCTCGGCAAAGCATTAAGCCATCCGCTGACCCAGCTTGGTACTCAAGCCGTAAACTGCAATAATGATTAAAGACAAGCAGTGTAAGTGAAATCCATCATTTGATTTTTTCGTTCACTCCCTTCAGATTCCAGAAATGCCTAAAATGCCCGCAAAATGAAAATGGCAGTGAGAATGTTCTGCGAACTTCAAACAGACGTACTTTATTCTTCATCGTCAAAGCTACGGTAGGACATGTGCATCCTTTTGCGCACAATTTTCATTTTTATTTACCATCGTCGCAACCTAAGTCTAGACTGTGGTAAATGAAAGAGATGTGAAAATGTTGTAGAATATCAAGACGATAAGTTATGAAGTTATAAATCACTCGTTTAAGGCACAGCCGGT